TTTAACGCGCGTCACAGCTGCACGTCCCGCCGCCGAGGTGCGGGAAGGCCTGGAGCGGAGCCGGGAGGCCGCGGGCCTCCTCGCCCGAGCTTTGCCTGTGATGTGTTTGTTGGAATGCCCTTGCGGAACCTGTGCGGAAGGTGAGCAGAAGCCGGTATGCGGCTGCAATTTCCCTTTTTAACGTGACAGATAGAATTCTAGCTAACAGGTAATTGTTTTCCTCTTTCTCAGTTTACAGGAGGTCTTTTAAATTTGGTGCCTGGCTTGAATCTTTGCATTGTAACCCTTCATCTGCAGCAGTGGGAAAGCTCCTTTGTAGATAATAAAAATTTCTGAGTAATGGATACTGTCTAGTTTCCATCAATACTTTTATTTCTTCTTTTGTTTGTGAGAGACTTAGACTGTACTTGCATTTTAAATCCGCAGTAGGGTGAATGCAGTATGTTTGCTTGGCTGTTTATGATCTGAAGCGATTGCTTACCAAGCTGTTAGCCTTAACCTGATACTCAGAACTCCCCGCTAAGCCATTTTGCTACATGTCTTTGGAGAATTATGAGATGCACGTAAGTTAGAGTCTGAAATAAACTGCTGTAAATAATAGTCTTGTAATGGAGACAGGAAAAAGGAGCAGAAACTTGCTGCAAATGCTATTGATCTGAGTAAGCTTGATTTTAATTTACTAACCGTAATTACATGGATGTTTTTAATTTTTCATTTTAATGCCAGAATATTTCCTGGTCTCTAAGCAGTCATGAGCTGCTACAGAAACTGAGGGCTACTTACAGTATTGGCATTTCTATTAATCCACTGCAAAGGACAAACCTGCGTTTTTCCTGTACCTGCACTGTGGTATGTATTGGGGAAGGATGGATGGGAGGCCATGCACTCCTCTCCTCCCGTTTTCCCGGTTGCAATGCCATCCTCCTTCCCTGAGAAGGAGCAGCCGAGGACGTTCCGGGCAATGTCTGCTTTGAAATGGTCAATTCCCCACAACAGAGATGTAAAACTGCATTTTCTGAGTATCTGCAACTACTGCCCCGAGGTATTTAGTCATAGCCACCTAACTTACTGAGAAAAGAGGTTAAAACTATTTTGACAACTGAGTTCTGCATGCCTGGAGGTCTGTGAAGAGGTCCAGTAATAAACATGGTAACTCTAGTTAGAGTGGGATTACAGAAATGCCTTCCAAATGTGAAGAAATACTTCACAGACTTTCTATTCTTGAATTCAAGTAGAGCTTTACTAGATTTACAATTTGCTAATTTTAATCTGTGGAATTTTATTAGTATATCCACAAAAGTACTTCTCCGTCTTGTTTTCTGAAGTGGCGCTTCTTGTTTCACTACATTTTAAAAAAAAAAAAAAAAAAAGAAAAAAAAGTCTTGCAAGCTTGTGTTATTGGTATGGCTTGCTGTATCTTGCAGAGCCCTTCGTAAACACATTGCAGAGAGGAAAGAAAGCCAAGTGTTGCAGTCAGTATACCAAGCACCTAGAATATTTTTAGGAATGCGCCTTTGTTTATAATTCATGAAAGGTTTGGAGAGATTACAATATATTGCACTGCATCACTTGCGTAAATAGTGAATTTGACATTAAGAAAAAAAGATATTAATTCAGATGTTATTGTTATTAAAAGTATCCAAGACAACAGCATAAATTATATGCATTAATAATATTGTATACTTTGCAACAAGTGCTCTGACAAGTACAGAGTAGGAAAAATATATATGACTATACCACTAAGGAAAATGAAGAATAGTTTTATTGGGTTATGATATTATAATAAAAGGACTGTCAAAGGATGTGTGTATCTTCAGCAAAACTTAAGGATGACTTTAAATGCTTAAAATTAAAGCTTGAATACTCAGTTCTCCGGGAAGCTTTCCTGGTGCTTGTATCAGTGTGGCATTTAGGAGCTATAGATAACAAACTGTTTTTGTGTCAAGTTAGCAGATATTGTTGGAATCAAATTGCACTTAAAGAATTACTTAAATTTACCCATTTGCTTTGCTCTAAGATGACTATCTCAATGTTTTTGAAAAGTAAAAATTATTTTTGGAAGAATTACAATAGCAAATGAAGGAGGATTGATTCTTTTGTATATTTGCACTGTTGTGTTATGAAACTATTGGCAATAATCTTAAGCTCAAAGAAGTCAACTGCATATCTAAATAGTAATACTTCAGCTTACATGAATAATTATGTATGATAAAGGGAGTGTTGCTTGATGTAAAAAAAATGTCTTTGAAGAAAGTCAAACTTCAAAAATGGTAAGAAAATTACTTAGAGTTTTGAATTTTGAACTTTTCAGACTAAACAAAACTTACCCATTCTGAAATTATGTGAGCAGAAAACATTGGTCTGTTCTCTTGTAGCTAGTGTGACATTATTTAAATAATGAACCTAAACAGTAGTGGATATTCCATATTTGAAATACATGTGTGTTGGTCTTTAACGGGGAAGACCTTTCATGTCCTTAGCAGAACTGAGGAGAAGAGCTGAAAAGCAGCAGTGAGCGGGCGAAGCTCCGTGCCCGGTTGTGCCGGCGCCGCGATGCCCTCCGGAGCCTTTGGCACCACTGCCGTTTCTCCCGGGTCCTGCCACGGGAATAGCCAGGATGAGTAACTGTGAATAGCTTTGAGAAGACAAGGGGCAGACCAGCTGGTTCCGTAAGCCATTGGTCTACAGGCGTCAAAAAATTGTGAGTTTCTGTTTTTTTATGTGTTGTGTCCAGGCATATGAAAAAAAGCCCCTCTCGCTTTCATCCAAAGGAGGGATGTCAGCCTGGCTCTCTAGGGAGAAACCCAAATTTAGGGAGAATCCCAAATTTTGCATTCTTGTATGTCTCGAGTGTTTGTTCTTTAGTGGTTTTGGCAGACTCTTGCTTGGCCTTTTCTGCCACTGATTTTGAAAACCCATTGGTCTCTAAGAGTGCAGAGTACCTCGTCTTTGCCAGCGTTTTCTTTTATTTATTTTTAGTGATCCAGTATGCTGAACTAGTCAAAATCATTTCACTCCTGTGTCAGTTTGCTTATTCCTATTGAAAGTGCTTTTCTACAGATTTTCATGTTTGATACTCATATAACTTCATGCGGTGAAAATGTTTTATTAGGGGGTTAGAGATACAGTTTGTTTGGTTTTGCCATGTAGCGAATATTTGCATAGAGAGATAATGGTGGTTTTGCGACCATGAAACATGCGTCCTACTCAAATCAATTGATTTAATTTGAAAATCTATTCGAGTGATAGGAAAAACAGTGCTTTAGACCTGCAGTGCTTTCCTAATGAAGCTGCATTTTATACTGTAATGTTTATTAAGGTTTATTGTAAAAGTTATCAAAGATAGTGTTCAGTGTTTACTTTTAAAACATATTCGAATGGAGGAAAAAAAATATATTGGAAGGAAGAGTCATTGCAAGAGTTTTGATTAGTATTTGTGGCGTAAAAGGAAGTTATTTAGAGGCTAAAGGAATTTGTGAAAAGATAATTGCTCAGACCAGCATTCTCATTAACCTAATTTGCATTAAATGTGCTTTTGTGAATTGCAGCTATTGCTTTGGCACTTGAAAGCTGTGCTTTGTTAGCTTATTTAAAGACCTGAATTAAACTACAGCTTAAGTCTTACCCTTTAATTCCGCAGTATCAAACTGGCTCCGTTATCAGCTACCTTTGTGGGTGTGGAGAATCGCAACCAGCTCTTATCCCAGTGGATTTTCTTGTGTTTAGCTGCTTTACATCCAGGCATTCCCAGACACCCAGAGCATCCCATTGAGCCTTTGGTCTCATTTTACAGTTGCTCCTCTCCAGCAGCAGCGAAAACTCTTCGCTTCCCTTGAGACAAAGCTAGGGAAATAACTGAAGGTCTTTGGGGCGTGTTTGAAGAAAAACCTTTGCTCTAATAGTGTAAAAGTTCTAAGAATCATTTGGTCTGACTATTTTTCAATAGAACTTTATGGTTGAATTTAGTTATACATGTAAGAAGATGGGCTGTTAAAACGTGAATTAATTTGCATATTTTGATCATGAGATTGAGGAGCTGATTTGGATTTTTGTAATTTTCAGCATTAGTTGCTGTTTGTTAACAGCTCTGGAGGTTCTGAAGCTGGGGCATTTGCCGAACCCGCGCGTCGTGCAGCGAAGCTCTCCTGTGGGGAGCGCGTCCCCTCGGCGCTCCTGCGAGGTGTCGGAGTGACTCAGCGTCACAGAGCTTCGCATCAGTTGTGTGAACTGAAGATTTGTAAAAGGAGACTTTTTAGAAGTCTAAAAGTAAATTTTGGTGCTTGGTTTTAAATATTCACAAAGGTACGGTCTGACGTTGGCTGCTTTGCGCTGGTAGTACCTGGAAACACCGAGTGTAAACCCGGCCCAGCTGGCCAAGACCAGGGAATCTGTGAGCTGGGCAGCACTGAACAGTGCTGGAAACAAAACGTCATGAAACAGGGACCCAAGTCCAAGATGAACTCGGTAACGGTCATCAGTATCTATATAAATACCGAGCTGAAAAGGTCTCTTTCTTGCTTGAATGGTTCCCAGTGGGATGGGTCCCAGTACGTGCCAGGCACTGGTGCTGTTGGTATTTGCAGGTGCTGCCGCTATCCAGGTAGCCCACAGATTGTTAGCTGGGCAGCACGTGTCAAACACATGAGTGTAAAATGAGCAAATGTCTTGCAGAAATGTGATAGGAAGTTGGTAAAGAGCTACAGATACATATATAGCTTAATTAACTCTAGTTAAGGTTACTTTCTTTCAGTCACTTATGCATGTGAGTTGAATTAGGTTTTTGCTGGCTCCAATGCTATTTTATTGACTGCACGCTTGAGTAAGGACGAGTGCAAGTAAGGAAGGGCCCAGAGAACTTAAGTGCCAGACAAAAAGTCTTTACTGGCCCTGTAACAAACTGTTTTAAACCACAGGATTTATTGACTGAATTTATTTAGGGTAGGGAGTACAAGGAGAGTAATTTTGTTTTTACATATGAACAAATTACTTCTTTTCTGTAGGAGACTCCTTTGCACAGTTTCGATTTGCTGAAGAGAAGGAATGGGATACGGAAAGCCTAAGCCATAAGCAGGTAACAGAAAAACTCCCCTTCCATTGAGTTTGTGTGGAAAATCACCCTGAATACATCCAGTTTTCCATACTTTTAATAGCAAACAAATAGCAGACATAGTATTCTATGTTAAGTGATCTCCGCATTCCACATGGAAGGGCTTAAAAGGCACAGGATACCGCTGGTGCAGTTTGGGAACCTGACGTGGGGTACACAGAGGTGGCTGTTGTTTCAGCAGCAAGTGTTTTAATACAGTAGCCCTGCTTATTCTGTGGCTATTTTTATTAATTTATCTGTAATGGTGGAAGTTCTGGAATCTTCCCCTGTCCTTACTCCCACAAATGAAGAAAAAATATGGGAATGTGAAACATGAGAATGTAATAGATGCTTTTATCTATTTATTTATCTTAATGGAAGCTTACTGTGTGTTGAATTTTATTGCAGCTATCAGTCCTTAATGTCGACTGTCAGACTTTGGTCCAGGCCCTTCAGGAACTGCCTCTACATCTAAGGTTGAATGTGGCTGCCGAGCTTGTGCAGGTAATGCTGTTTATTCAGGCAATATAATAGAAATATTGTAAGTGAAACAATCTGTGCTAGAACAAATGCTTTAAACTTGGTCTTGTGACTCACATGCAACTTGCATGTAAGTAAATGATTTCCTGAGAGTGGTGAGTGAGTCAGCAGGGTGGGAATTGAGATGTAACTAATCCCATGGCATCCTGATAAAAGCAGTGATAAATAGTAAGTTGACATTTGTTGTTGTAGCATTTGCTGGTGTTTTATATTCTGGTCTCATTTTTCAAGGTGCTTAGTGATGTTACACAGCTTTTGTCAAATCAGTCTCAGCAAGCTGTAGCGGAGTTTGCTTTCAAGGTGCATTTTGGAAGGAAGATCTAGCCAACTTTTGTCTTCAATCACTCCAGAACTCAGAGTACTGGCTGGGCTAATTATGGATGCGTAGGAGAAGGAACTGTGCAGGAATTATTTGTGGAATGATGAATTATTTTTTTTTAGTGTACAATCTCCTATTTCATTTTAAGGGCTACAAGGAATTTATTTATAGCTTGTTAGGTGCTCAGCTACCACCAAACTAACTTTACTATATCTTGTTTCTGAATTGAACTCTAATTCTAGCTTCTTACATGATGAAACAAGAAGTATGAATTACAGTCCAGTTAGACAGAACAGTGCAAGCTGAGTCCACCCTTACAAGGGCTAAGGTCTTTTCCTGTGCTCCTTAGGCATCGACACCTGCTGAGCTCCCGCCCATCAAACTTAAAACCATTGAAGACAGCAAGAGAAGAGAGACTCTGTTTCAACAGAGCAAAGCAGCGCCCGGTTCCCATCGCGGGGGCCGTTCTGCTGCCCCGCCAGAACCTGCAGGAAAAGCTGCTCGTGCAGCAGAGCCGCTTCAGCGCGGCCGCCCGCTGCCGCAGCAGGACACTGACGCCCTGGATGAGGAACTGGATCGGCTCCTCAATCTGGATGCTCCCGGTACTGTGGAAAATAGCTGTGTGTCAAGGACCATAGACAGCACCATAACTGAGAAAGAGCAGAAAAGGGATTATAAGGAAAAAGGTAAGATTCCTCCCCTTCCTTTCCAGTTTTTATCCTGCCTAAGATAACTTGAGAGCTGTAGCCCTCCTCTTCAGCATACTGGTGTTTGAAAGCTGTTGCTTATGGAAATAATATAGCTTGACACTTTCTTTGGTAGAAGCAAATTAAATCATCTAAAGCTTTTAAAATGCCGTGAGTGAAAATGCTCCTTTGTTACTTCTGGAGCTTGTTGGAATGTGGTCTTTTCCCTGTTTGGCCACCATCTCATATCCTGGCTTTTATTTATTTTTTTAAATTCTAAATCTATTTGATAAAAATGTGGCCTAATAGAATATGCACATCTGCTCCCTTTCAAGCATTATGCCTTTAAGGTTACATGATTAGTTGGATAAATGAATAAAACAATGAGTTTTTTCCATATCGTCAACAAAGGTTGAACGTGAAACAACAACCAAAGTAAAGCTTGAGCCCTTGAACTGCAGCAGACAAAATCTTAGCTATCCGCATAACTGCCTTGATAGTTAAGTATGTCTGAATCTTAATCAGGTCAGTACTTTGCAAGATGGATTAAAAATTGCTATTAATTTTTAGGATCAAAAAGATTGCCCAATTTTTGTTTTTCTTATTCAGATCCTTGATCTGTAATTCAAGGATGGCAGATGCTTACTTGGATGTCTAAAATAAAATAAAATCTATCCTTTAGGATGAAAAGACTTGTGATTACCTCCAGAAATCCTGGTCATCTTCATAGAGATCCCATAAACTCCCTGTAGCAGTAGGTAGCCCTTAATTCCTTCTAGACTCCAAGAAACCATAGTTCCAAGTTTTCCAGGTCCGTAGATATTAATAAGTTACTAATTAACTAAGGAGCTTACAGCAAAACTAGTCACAGAGAAGTAAGTTGTAGGACATTTTACCAGTTACCTTTTTTCATTATTTTTGAAGCCAAATTTGGAAAGTGCTATGGGAACTGTTGCTGACAGGACACCTTCCATGCTCGTCAATACGGAGTAAATACAGAATACTGTGGCTATCCTGGAATACTCCTAACACATTAAAATACTGCTTATTTTGTAGGGAATGTATCATTGCTAAAATTGTTTCCAATAATATCTCAAATGTTAAATAGACTTTAACAGTATTTTCCTCTCCAATAACAGTATGTAGTATTAAGAAAAGTTCTTCACTGATGTGCTGATTTTCACCACTGTTAGCATGTCCACTTTAAACATTAAAATAACATCGTGCATATTTTATTTTGTTAGTTCTAGTGATAAGTAGTGCTCTTCCTCCCCTATCCCTCCATGAATCTTTAATATCTTCTCCTTCCCCCCAATTTTATATTCTTTTTGAATTGTGACTCCCCAGCTGTTACAGAAGGAATTGTTTCCAGATTTTTATGTCTGTTCTGTTTATTCTTCTAGAACCTCAAAAACTGGATGTGCCTGAAGAGAACAGCTCAGCATCACAGCAGCAGCAGCAGCAAAGTGCATCTAAAAATGTCACTGAGGAGGAGCTTGAAGACTGGCTGGACAGCATGATATCCTGAAGCCAAAATTCTCTTATGCGAATAAATGAATATAACAAAAGTTAAGTAGAAAGTATTAGTTAAAGGAGGTCACTCTATTGCTTAATCTCTTTTTTTATTTCCTTGGTTCAGGATGCCCAATACTCACCCTAAATTTGCTTAAATTTATTGAAATTCAAGTTAGTTATTATTCCTGGTAAACCGTACTTATTTAAGACAAATTTTGTGATAAAATTAGAGGTGCATGCCGTGGCATATCAGTCACAGAAGTTGCTTCAGCCTGTACTTGCTGTATGTAGTTGCTATAAAATAAAACCGTGAACATAAAATACATGGCTCTTTAATCAGCACCCCATGCCACATTTCCACTGCAGTAGAAAAACCAAAAAGAAGAGACAGTAGAGGTATTATTTGGCTTATACTTTATTGCAGTGGGCACTTTTCATTAGAAGGGAAAAAAAAAAAAAAAGCATAAACTTAGCAGCTTCTACATACAGATGACCATGAAGCATTGTTTTATTTTGGCCTAACATTTAGATTTTATTCATTTTGATACACTGTATTTCTTTTAACAGCAGCATCAAGTAAGCTGTTATTGAAGGTGGTGTATATAAATGAACTTGAGGTGCAGTTTCATACAGAAAGACAGAAAAGCAACACAGTTAATGGATCTGTCCATCTAGTACACTAACATAAATAAAAAGTTTGCATAGCTATGTCTATAGAGGTTTTAAGGCACTTAATTGATGTTTCATGGTCAACAGAGTGTTTGAAAATGTTTTCTTTAACTGCTTAAAGCTGTATTAAGCTGTATCGTAATACATTCACTAGCAAGTACTGAGGGACAAACCGTACTGCAGTTAAAACATTTTTGAGGCAAGGCCTCTGATGTTCAAGTTCTTAAATTCAAATGTTGTGCAATTAAGATGTCTCGTAGCCCTTTCAGCGGTACTGCCAAACACTGGGTTAATGGTTAAGAGTTTTTAAATCAGGCCCTATTTGAATCGGAAGGCTCAAGTTAATTTTGGCATAGATTTCAAACTGAACTTTCAGCAGAAGACCTGTTTCATACGTGGTAGGCAAAAAAAAAAAAGCCCATGACTCGGTTACAAATGCATGTCTAGAAGTTTAAAGACATTTAAACCAAGCATGAGTTCTGAATTTATACCCTACAAAGAAAAGGTAAGAGGTTTTCCTGTTTACTGGATCTTAACAGCTCAGGAATAGAAGAGTCTCTTCTGCGGTAACATTAGCCGAGTTGATCCTCATACTGTTTCCGAAAGCAGTCTCCTGCAGGGAAGAAATCCCAGCATCTTTCTTGGTACATCTTCCACACAAATGACTCCTGTAAATGATAAAGTATATTTATTTTACCACAGATAAACTTTTAATGAAAACTGACCAGTACTGTGCAAGTAAAAGCAACGTGAAAATGTTGAAACTGCCATTTCATAATTCAAGAGTGCCTGTAAAATGAGTTGTTGGAGATAAGTGCATCTGATGCAGTACTCTGGGAAGTTAAGCCTTGGGCAGAAAAACTGCTAAGTGTAAATTAGTAATTATGATATGAAAAAAAAAACCTCTACAGTCTGTATATATACAATGTGTTTTATTTACTGAAAAAGCATTTTTGAAGGTTAAGCTACTTTCCTACTGTTTGCATTACAGGCTATTTACATCCTAAATCATATTTCTTTTCTTATTTATTAATGTTTAGGGCTTAATTGCATTAAACACTGACATGCTCACAGAGAGATGTGTACTGTAAATATAGTAGTTCAACTACTTTATTCCCTCCCATATTCCCTGTAGCTGCTATGTTTCAGGGTTTCATTTCAGATAATAAGGTGACAGGTAGGTGGCTGGCAACTGTCAATTTACTGCCTTTCTGGAGAGGGGTAGTATTTACCCTTACTTTTATGCCCAGAACATAAGGGACATAAGTCCTCCTCTCCGTGAGGGTGGTATTTGTCTCCACCCTTTGGTGGTACATCAGTTCCATCTCTTAGTACATAAGTACAAGGCTGGAGAAGATTAAAAGTAATGAAGTAATTTAAGCTTTGATTAAAGATGATCTTCTACTTACCTGGCCAGTATGCTCAGTTTCATCCTTATTAATAAGATACATTAAAAAGAACCTGAAAGAAGCACATGAAGTATTAATATAGAAAACATAACATCTCTGCTTCTTTGCCTCATTCTAGGAAAGAAAATTATGCCAAAAAACAAAGTAATGACCTTACTTCTAAATTATAAAATACATATGTCTATATCTAATATAGACATATATTTATATATAAGTTTAAAATGAGCCACAAGTTTCAGTGGCTTCATCAGTGTTACCAATTAAGATGTCTTGTAGCCCTTAGGACATCTTAGTGATAAAATTAAGATTATGACATGTTAATAGACCAAGCTCCCCTTGCAATCTGCTTCCAAACTGAAAGGATTTGCAGACAGCTGTTCAGTGCCCTTCCACATATCTGGATTTTCCTTCCAGAGCAGGACTGAGGCCGAGCGGGGCCGTCGGGTGTCACCCTGCCCTGGCAGCTCACATGCAGAGCAAACACTGTAAGGACATGGAGCAGCAGGGAGTGGAGGAGAGGACATCGGAAAGGACGGGATAGCCTCACAGAATCCTGTTTTAGGATTGTTCAGCAGTGTGAACTCGCCTCCAAGTTAGTCTGGAGCTGAAAGGTGCTGTGTATTGTAATTCCAGGTCATGGGGTAAAACACTTACAGGTAGTTTGCCAGGTTGTGCTCTTGCAAAGTGTGTGTTTCAAAGCCGTGTGGGGTTGTGTCAAAGTAGTCATTGCCGATTCCACAAATAAAACATTTGGTCTGGAAATGGAATTCAAATGTTTAAAATTCAGTTTTAACCCTAAGCAAATATTATTACTGGTAACAATCTAGATTAATAGGATTAGATAAAAAATGTAACATGTTTATTCATACCTCCATATCTTCTCTCACTTGTTCTTGCTGGTCTCTTAATTCACCAAAAGCATCAATAATCAGACCTATTTTGTATTGAAAAAAGCAAAATACAAGGACTTAGCAACATTTATATTTTATGCTATGCAGAAGAGTAACTCTACCTTAATCAAATATCCTCCCCTGCATTTGGAGTTCAGCATACTTATGTCGAGGTTGAACAACTGAAGTTACAATCTCTTGGTTTCCAGACACAGAACGTTTGTTTACACTTCAGTCCCAGTGGGAATTTCTCTGCCACAGGAGTATTATCTTAAGGATTATTGACATGCACTGTGGTCAATGGAAGTTTACATCAGACATGTATTTTTTTTTGTATTCTTCCTAGGACAGTGCATATGTTTATGAACTAAGAGCAAAAATAGTGTTTTAGAATTACTTATTTCTGAGTTCATAAAACCATTATTTCTGCCAATATTGCTTAAATAATCTCAAAGAGAGCTGTGATTGTATGTTTCAGAACTTCAGTGCGCTTTGTTTTACCAGTTTCTACCATGGTAAGTGAAGAAAGATACCTTGAATAATGGCCAGTAGGATAACAATGACAAAGAAGAAAAATGTGATATCAAAGACAATTCGATACATTTCATAAGGGTCTCCAGCAGGATCCTCGATTTCATCTCCAATGCCACCACCAGCTCTTACACCCACATACATGTGGAACAGATAACACTAAAGGGGAACAAAAAAGTTGAGAAATGATAAAAATATTAGCACAAGTCTGCATGTTTCGTTGAGTACTACTGTACTCAACTATCTCCTATCACTTGCTTAAATTGCTAAGGTTCAGGCTTATTCTGAGTAATAATAATAATTCTGAGAGGATATGTTCTAAAGTCTTGTAATATGGTGTAGGAAATGCTAGCAACTATTTCTGTAAAATAAATAATGATATAGTTAGTTACAACAGGTCACCTTTGTTAAGGTGGTTTTGGTTAACTTTTTTGTAATATTAAACATCTGTTTTTATTATATGATGTTTAAATGATGATTAAATGATTTATGGTCACACATAAGCTGTGTTCAGTTTGAGGCAGAAGAAATACTTTAACGCACAGAGCAATGTTGTTGTAGTGTTTTTTAACACCTAAGTCTTTATGGAAAAATATTTACAAATCTGACTAAGCTGTGCAAGGGTATGGGAGTGTGCTACAGCCTCACACTAGTTAATGCCCCTGTAGAAATCAACTACACAATCTTCTGTTTCATGATATGGGATAACAATAAAGAAAAACTCTAAGTGTTTGGTAGTCACATTAGGTAGTAGTGATAATGCTAAATAATCATAGAAACTAACAAAACTGGTCTTAAGCAAAGACTAAAAATTATACATTCAAGTTAGAATACAGTTTTTCTACTCAGGTAAGTTACTGTTACTAGCTTAATCATACTTAAAAACATAATAGAAACTGATTTAAACCACTTTGCAGAGCTGTTTAAAAATGTCAATTTTAAACATGTCAATTACTCCAGTTACTCCTAGATCCATTTTCTGAGTCTGGTACGTGAGCTTTATTTCAGGTCAAACCTTTGTATTCAGCTCACAGAGGGTCTAGTGTAACAGTGGGCATTTTCTTCCCTTCTATAATCTGCACATCTGGCTTGCAGTGAGTATTTGATGGAAAGGTGAAGAATAGGTGAAATCATTTTATGTAGTCAATGATAAATCTCTGAGGAATTTTGTTCTATCAGTGACATGTAACACAGGGCAGATTATGGTGACCAAGCCCTGGAAGAAAATCACTGTCAGCAACCCAGATGTTTAACACATGCTATTTTGTGCTGATTTATTTATGCAGTAAGAAAATCAAACCCTCTTCATACTGTAAGAAACAGCTGTAGAGTATATTTTAATGACATATATATTATTTGGTTTTCTGTTGTGACAAGTAGAAAGAGAAGGTAAGTTAGTAACAGCTGATTATTACTCCTCATAAGCTTTAATTTCTTCCTCCTCCACTCACCTCTGATTTCTTACTTTCCAACTAAATTACCAATTGTGAGTAGTTTGAACAGGGATCTATAACAAGTGCTAATAAATCATATACTTAATGCTGCCTAAATAAGGATAGGAAGAGCTTGCAAATATTGGCAACCAAGTCAGCTTTGCTTGTGTCGTAGCGAAAAAGCTTTCTTCAGGACTGACAAATTTGTCATGAGTTTTCATAAACTTTTAAGAGTTTGCTCTCTGCACGTGTAAAAGCAGCAGCCAACCATACACCACAG